GTAATTAAACTTTAAATCACTCTGATTTGCTTTATTAAGCCTTCATTGATAGCTGTCCATCCTCCCTCTTACCTATAACTGCTCCTTTCTTTAAACCTAATAATGCTTTTGTTTTCATCTTTTAGGAGTCATAATTCTTTCCAACTTTGTATGATAATTAATGTGTGTATTTGTATCCCATGTATTGTAACTTCTTGAAATAAAAAAAAAAATTGGGGTTGGGAAGGTGGCTCAGTGGTAGAGCGCCTACCTTGCATACATGAGGCCCTGGGTTCGATTCCTTAGCACCACATAAGCAGAAAAACTGGAAGTGGAGCTGTGGCTCAAGTGGTAGAGTGCTCACTTTGAGCTGAAGAGCTGAGGGACAGCACCCAGGCCCAGAATTCAGGCCCTATGACCAACAAAAAACAAACAAACAAAATATTTCTCTGTAGCATCTCAAATAAAAAATAAATGAGTTATTGTGGATTGTGGTTAAAAACTCAAATTCTGGAGCCTGATTCTCTAGATTTCCGTCTGATTCTGCTATTTAATTGCTTTATAATCTCTGACCAATAACAAATAAGTTTTATTTCCCCATCTATAAAATGATAGTGCTACCCTTACTTTATGAGTTTTATTATGAGGATATATATATATATAAAGCTTCTAATACATTTCCTGACACATATTAAGCCTTCAGTAAAAATTTGTTGTTTAATATTACTGCTACTAATAATACAGAAAAAAATCAGTATGGTTGCTGCTGCTTGGGAGTTGAGGCAGGATTGCTTTGTCATCAGTCTGGGCCTCCATTAATGCAACCATATGTGGATAGAAATAATTTAAAGTTTTCTTTAAAAAAATTATGGCAAATGAACCTTTTCTAATTTATCCTACCATTTATCACTAGGAGACATCACTCCCGGTCTTCATTTCTTCCTGATGCTATTTGCTCAAAGAAACACTTGCAGAAGTTGAATGTGGCCAGTTACTGATGGCTTCACCTATAACTCTTAGCTACTTAGGAAGCTGAGACTGAAGATCATGGTTTAAATGCTAGCCAGGACAGGGAAGTCCATGGAACTCTTTTTTTTTTGGGGGGGGGGGGGGAGGGGGAGGTTTCCAGTCGTAGGGCCTGAACTCTAGGCCTGAGCGCTGTCCCTCAGCTCTTCACCTCAAGGGTAACACTCTACCACTTGAGCCACAGCACCATATCCGGCTTTTTTTTTTTTTCTGCTTATGTGGTACTGAGGAATCGCACCCAGGGCCTCATGCATGCAAGGCAGCCCTCCATGAGACTCTTATTTCCAATTAACCACCAAAAAGCCAGAAGTAGAGGTGTGACTCAAGTGATAGAACACTACCCTTGAGCAAAAAAGCTCTGGAAAACTGTGCATAGGTGGTCCACACCTGTTAACCTAGCTACTCAGATCTGAGAATCACATTAAAAGCCAGCCTGGGCAGGAAAGTCCATGAGACTCTTATCTCCACTTAGCTACCAAGAAGCTGGAAATGGACCTGTGGCTTAAGTATTAGAGTGCTAGCGTTCAGCAAAGAAGAACAGAACCCAAACAGAATTCAAGCTCTAGGACCAGACCACCCCCCCCCCCCCACCAAAAAAAAAAGAAAAGATCCAAGACAGTACCCAGGTTCTAAGTTCAAGTACCAGGTTGGGACCCCCCCCCCCCCCACCCGCTCAAAAAAAAAAAAGATTTTTAAGGCTTTTCTTTAAAGCAGCTTTTTTTTTGGTGACACTGGGATTTGAATTCAGGGCTGCATGCTTGCTAGACTGGTGAAATTCCACTTAAAGTCATTCCCTGTATCTATTTTTTACTATTAATTTTTGGATTTGGTTTTGTTGTGTTGTGCCAATTACAAGGCTTGAAATGAGGGGCTTTTGCTCTCATTCCTCCTTCATGCTCATGGCTATTGCTCTACAAATTATGTCATACCTCCAGTCTAGCATTTTGCTAGATTGGAGATTGAATCTCATGAATTAGCTATGAACTGCAATCCTCTAATCTTAGTCTCCTGAGTAGCTAGGATTGTAGGCATGAACCACCAGCTCTTGGCACTAGTTATTTGTTTTGGTGGAATTTTTTGCTTATAAACATTTATTTAAGGGGCTGGGAAGGTGGCTCAGTGGAAGAGTGCTTGCCTCACATGCATGAGGCCCTGGGTTCAATTCCTCAGCATCACGTAAGCAGAAAAAGCCAGAAGTAGCACTATGGCTCAAGTGGTAGAGCCTTAGTCTTGAGCAGAAGAGCTGAGGGACAGTGCCCAGCCCCAGAGTTCAGCCCCACAACCGACCAAAAAAAAAATTATTCAAGTAAAATATGATGACATGTTTATAATCTATCCCAGAGCCTCTCTCCATCTGTCCATCTCCCTTTCAATGTATAAGTAGCAATCTTGCTGTTTCCATACAACCCTTTAAAATTTTCATGGTAACTTAAGTAGCTACCTACAGTCTCCAACTGTGGATTCTATTTTGTAGTCCAGGCTGAATTCATAGTCTTCCTCCTTCTGTCTCTCATTGTACTATAGGTACATTCCACCATACCCAGCTTCAGTGATAAATTCTCATAAAATTTATATTTACTTAAAACTTACATTTTACAGCTATTGTCAAGCTGAAGCTTCATACTTTGATTGAGAGGTCTCTTCACTCTGGACCCAAGCAAGCAATGCAGATAAAAATGTGCATCCAGCGGGGTGCCGGTGGCTCACACCTGTAATCCTAGCTACTCAGGAGGCTTAGATCTGAGGATCTCAGTACAAAGCCAGCCCAGGCAGGAAAGTCTATGAGATTCTTATCTCCAACCAACTCCAATCAACCACCAGAAAACTGGAAGTGATGCTATGGCTTAAGTAGTAGAATGCTCACCTTGAGCTGAAGAATACAAGGACAGCACCCAGGCCCAGAGTTCAAGCTCATGACCAAAAAAAAAAGAAAAAAATATGCATCCAGTAGTAAAAATGACATTACTGCTTTGCGCAATTCAGTTACCATTTGAGCTTCTACTTTTCTAGCTAATGCTCTTTCCTGTTTAAAACAACAAAAACTGGCTTAATATAAATTCAAGATGGTGCTAGCTTTTTATTGTTTTGTTTTAATCATTTATAAATTCTTTGTTGCTACTTAAAATGGGTGATTGAGAATAATTTTAGGATACTATATGTAGTAATAGGCTACTAGGTGAGGCGTATAACAGGCCTGAGTATTGACAAAATGGCCAAAAGTTACAACTACATATTCCCATACTGCTTACTGACATAACACATGATAATTAATAAGAGAGAAAACATTTAAAAAATCAATTGTATATAAATACTCCCAGAATTTAAAGTGCTGATAACTTTTGCCTCAAAGGGAACTTTCTTTTCTTTTAGCCAAAAATTTCTGAAAGTCATAAATCCAACTTTTGATCAGGAAATTGTGAAACATATTTTAAAAACAGGAAATAAAAAGTGAAAATAGAACTTTCTTAATTGGTATAAGTTGCCATTTAATTAGCTGCTTATCATAAATTGATATTACTTTGGTAATAGTCACTTTTTGCTAAATACAAAGGCTAACTATATTGTCATTTGACAATACCAAAAAATCAAAGCCTCAGATATGTAAGTTAGAAATCTGGGCCAAATAGCAGCAAGGATAGGTAGATGGGCAGTTATTTTTAAAACATTTAAGTAAAATAGCTTTTCGTTTTGCATTGCTTTTTTTTCTGACATTAGTTACTTTTAGGATGGAGTTTTGTTTCTCCCGCGGCACCCCCCCCCCCCCCCCCCCCCCCGCCGCAATTTGCACATAAGCCACAATCAGCCTATTTTTTGGCTTCCTCTCATTGTTGGAATCACAGACACATGCCATGGTATACAGCTTCCTTCTTGCGGAGATGGAGTTTCATAGATTTTTCTGCCCTACCTGGCCTAGCACTGCAATTCTCGAGTTATCAGATGTAAACTTGAGGTACAGATGTGTGTACCCCTCCCAGACATGTGTAACCCTCCCACCTGTGGCTTGAGAAAGACTCTCTTAAGCTCTGCCATCTGAGCTGGCCTCAAATTTTGATCCTTTTTCTCTCAGCTGTGTAAGAGCTAGGATTATAAGCATAAGCCACCAACAAGTACCAGCCTTTTTTTTTTTTTATTGTTCGTTGTTTTACGAGACAGAATCCTTGCTCTTGTCACCAAAACAGGCCTCCAACTGCTGGGCTCAAGTATTATCCTTCTGCCTCAGCAATAGTTGTAACTACAGGTAATACAACTATACCAGGTCAAATCTAAATAGGTGTATGTGTTGCTGGGAATTGAGTGCCTCATATATCCTAGAGAAGCATTCTGCCACTAAGCAACATAGTTAAACAAGCCTTGTCTGGTTTTTTTTGTTTGTTTTGCAGAATTGAAGATTAAACCCAGGGCCTCAGGTATGCTAGTCTAGCATTCTACCACTTGAGCCATGTCTCCATTTCTGGTTTATGTGTGGTTTTTGACAAGAAAAAACCATAACAAATTCATTAGTTGCCTAAGGAATGAGAATATTAGATTCCTAAATCTGTTTTTGTACTACATGTTGTTTTTTCTTTTGTTTTGTTTTTGTTAGTCATGGGTCCTGAACTCTGGGCCTGGGCACTGTCCCTCAGCTCTTCAGCTCAAGGCTAGCGCTCTACCATTTGAGCTACCACGCTCCTCTGGCTTTTTCTGCTTATGTGGTGCTGAAGAAGTTAATATTTACTAACTATATAAGAGACTTTCTTTGAAATGTCTTTTTACTTCTGTTAGCCTTGTGACCAGCAACACATAATTGAACTACTCAGTTGAAGGCAGTTTTGAAATATCTATTTATAAAAAAATATTTTTTGAAAATACATATTTTTTCAAATATATTTTTGAAAAACATAATCATTGGACATAATATTTTAAAGGTGGCCAGTATGTGTTAAAGCTAACTCTGGACTTTTTAAATCCCAGGAATTCCTAAATTGCTAATTGCTCTTTTTTCTCTGACTCAACAGGAAACTTCTGTACTATCCTCAAAGAGCTGACTGCTGACCTAACTGCCCCTGATATCCAGGTGGCCGCCTCTTCCTGTTTACTTCCACCCCTTTGTCATCAGGATGATCTTTTGATATTAAGTCCTTTGCTACAAGAGACTGACCATAAATTCATTGAAGAACAGGTGTGGCCATTTTAAAATTATTCTTGGTAAATTTAATCTGTGAACAGTGACTTTTAATTAAAAACTTCATGTGCCTTTTTAAATTTTAGCTCCTGCTTGGTAATGGTGTTGCTTGTGGAAGTCTTGAATATGACCCTTATTCGATTTATGAGGATATAGAAGGAGATTCTGTGCCTAAACCCCTACCTCCAACACTGTCAGTTATTAGTTCTGCATCCAAGCTCTTTGGGGTTGTCTGTGCTCATGTGGAAGATGCTCAGAGGTAAATTCCTTCAACAGTTCAATTATCCTGAAATATAATATTGGTTTGGTAAATTTACAATAGAGAAATAATGGATAAGAGGAATGTTGTCAGATCTCATTAATGAAGGTGATGGGTGAACATGAGATTAAGGTTCATATTCTCTTAGCTAATATTGAATAAGAAATTATTAAGTGCCCCATTCTAGGTACTGTTATGGCTATGATATTTTGACTAAAATTAGTTTATCATCTAGCCAATAACACATATGGAAAAGTCAATAAGGGCAAAAGGAATGCTGATTGATTTGTGATTGGTTGTTATAAAGATAAGCATCTTTAAAAAAATTAACTTAGACTAGATCTCATCATAGGCTTTCTTTGGAAATTTTATGGAATTGTTACAGATTCAGTAATTAGTCTTCAAATGCCTACTATGACAATTTACCTAAAATGAACTTTGGGATAGATGTGGCACATACCTGCATTCCCAGAACTTAGGCAGCTTAGGTTGGAAGATCTCGACTTCCAGGGGAGCTTTGGCTACATAATGAGACCCTTTTTCAAAATACCAAATAATAATAATAAATACATTTCCCTCAAGATAAAATAGGAATGAGAATGAAAATGAAGATGAGAGAATTAAGTCCAGTTTATAAACTCTCACTGCTATCTTTTTTTTTTTTTTTGGTCGGTTGTGGGGCCTGAACTCTGGGCCTGCGTGCTGTCCGTCAGCTCTTCAGCTCAAGGCCAGCACTCTACCACTTGAGCCACAGCACCACTTCCGGCTTTTTCTGTTTTTGTGGTGCTGAGGAGTCAAACCCAGGGCCTCATGCATGCAAGGCAAACACTCTACCACTGAGCCACCTTCCCAGCCCTTGCTATCTTTTTTGTTGTTCATGTCTATCAATTATATGGGACATTCTAAGCTATAAATATTAAGAAAGACATTTTACCTCAAAATAAACTAACTTATGTAATGATACATTGATTAGCTTCTTTTTGGTACATTTCACAGTGTTAACATATGAAGACATCGTGTTATAGATCTTAAATATATACAATTTACAACTTTTTTGTTTGTTTTTTTGGGTCCGGTCATGGGGCCTGAACTCTGGGCCTGGGTGCTGTCCCTCAGCTCTTCAGCTCAAGGCTAGTGCTCTACCACTTGAGCCACAGTGCCACTTCCGGCTTTTTTCTTTTTGCTTATGTGGTGCTGAGGAATCGAACTCAGGGCCTCATGCATGCAAGGCAAGCGCTCTACCACTGAGCCACCTTCCCAGCCCCACAATTTACAACTTTTATATTCACCAAATGTATTCCAATAAAACTAGGAAAGAGTTACTAGCATTAAAACATATTATGTAGGTTGTAGGAAGGAATAGGAGAAAGAAGCTGGTAAAAAGTGAAGTGTCCAAAAAAGAAATATACTCATTACCTGACTTAAGAAATGATGACCCCTCTGTCCAGCACCTGAATTAAAACAATAAAATTATATTTTAAAGCATACTAGTTAGAGATTTCTAGCTCATGCTGTTACCAAAAAATAAATATAAGATGCTTCCCTGACCAAAGAAAGAAACTTTGGCTCAGAAATACAAAGCTGGCCCAGCACTGGTGCCTCACACCTGTAATCCTAGCTACTTAGAAGACTGAGATCTGAGGATCATTGTTCAAAGCCAGACCAGGGTGGAAAGTCCATGAGACTCTTCTCCAATATTCAAAAAAAAGCCAGAAGTAGCACTGTGGCTCAAGTGGTAGAGTGATAGCCTTGAGCCAAAGAGGTTTAGGGACAATGCCCAGGCCCAGAGTTCAAGCCCTAGGAATGGCACACAAAAAAAAATTCCAAAGCTGATAAACATTTTTCATTTAGAATGAGGTTGTTTTCCTTATTTTTTTTCTTGGCAATATTGGTGTTTGAACTTGGGGCCTTGCACTTCATAGTCTACAACTTGTACCATAGCTCTAGAATGATAGTGGTTTTTGTTGCAGGGGCCGGGGGGGGGAGAGGGGGTCCTAGAGCTTGAATTCAGGACCTGGCACTGTCCCTCAGCTTCTTTGCTCAAGGCTAGTGTTCTACCACTTGAGCCACAGCACCACTTCTGAGTTTTTTGTTTTGTTTTGTTTTTTTGGCAGTTAATTAAAGATAAGAATCTAGTAGGCTTTCGTGCCTAAGTTGGCTTTGAACTGAAATGCTCAGATCTCAGCCTCCTGAGTAGCTAGGCTTTCGGGCATGAGCCACCGTCACCCCGCTAGAATAATAGTTTCTTAATTGATAATCGAACATAAGCTTTTCTATGATCCAGGAAAATATGTTATTGTCTGAGAATCTAAAGGGAAATCAATCTCTCCCGTAAGCTATTCTGGTTAATATTGTGAAGTTACTACAGTCATTAATTTATTCATATTTCCTCTTTCCCTTTCTTCCTCTCTATTTTCTACCTTTCTTTCCCTTCCTTCCCTATCTTTCCGACATGTGAGGCTATGCATTTGGTTTAATATAGCTTTTATTGTATCATATTATTTAGGCCTAAAACTGTGCTCATTTTCCTCCTGTTTATTCAAGGCTGGGCTTGTTTCGTTTGCTTTAATTTAAAAATTTAGACTTTATTAAATCAAAACTTATAATTCTGTTTGGATTCTAACTGAACAAAAAATAGTAGGCAGCAGTTTGGAAATTGTTTTTAAAGGAAAATCAGTCTGGCAGAATCTCAGGTCATAGGAACTGTTAGAAACCTCCAGTGGGTGTCGCTAGAGGACTAGAGGAAAGAAACTGAAGAATATGAAAGTAAAGTTTTTAACTTCCTGTTATACCAATTATACTTGTTTGTGGCAGTCCTTTTTCTTCCAGTTACATTACATGTGCTTTTCCAGATAAGAAAGGTCTTAAGGTATCAGTATTTGACAGCTATATATTAAAAATAGTTTAGGCTGGGAGGTGGCTCAGTGGTAGAGTGCTTGCTTTGCATGCATGAGGCCCTGGGTTCAATTCCTTAGCACCACATAAGCAGTAAAAGCCAGAAGTGGTGCTGTGGCTTTAGTGGTAGAGCGCTAACCTTGAGCTGAAAGAGCTGAGGGACAGCACTCAGGCCCAGAGTTCAGACTCCACAACCGGCAAAAAAAATAGTTTGATATAATTGTGGCTAAAACACATTTGAACAGCTCAAAACAAACCATTTACAAGATTACGCTGAAGTTGGAAAATTTTTTTAATATTATTTATACATTGAGAAAGTACAAGTGCCAGTACAAAAAAAAAACAATGTTTTATAAGCTACCAAATTCTCCAATATTAAATGGTATGCCAGTATTGAATCAATTGTGTTAGTTTCCCAATTGGCTTAGCTTTCTTTCACTATAATTAATATCTGAGCCCTGCGCTGGTAGCTCACCCCTGTAATCCTAGCTACTCAGGGGGCTGAGATCTGAGGATCGTGATTCAAAGCCAGCCCAGGCAGGAAAGTCCATGAGACTCTTATCTCCACTATACCACTCAGAAAACCGGAAGTGGCACTGTGGTTCAAGTGGTAGAGTGCTAGACTTGAGCTGAAGAGCTGAGGGACAGCGCCCAGGCCCAGAGTTCAAGTCCCACGACCGGAAAATAAATAAATATCTGAGATAATCAGTTTGAAGAAGAAAGTTTATTTTGGTTCTTAAAAAGAAATTTTAAGGCAGGGATTGTGGCTTAATGGTAGAGTACTTACCTAGCAAGCATGAGGCTCTGGTTAAATTCCTCAGTACCACATCAATAAAAAATACATGAAATTAATAAAGATTTAAAAAAGAAAAAAATGGGGCTGGGAAGGTGGCTCAGTGGTAGAGTGCTTGCCTTGCATGCATGAGGCTCTGGGTTCGATTCCTCAGCACCACATAAGCAGAAAAGGCTGAAAGTGGCACTGTGGCTCAAGAGGTAGAGTGCTAGCCTTGAGGTGAAGAGCTGAGGGACAGCGCCCAGGCCCACAGTTTAGGCCCCATGACCGGCAAAAAAGAAAGGAAGGAAGGAAGGAAGAAAGAGAGAGAAAGAAAGAAAAAGAAAGAAAGAATAACCACTCAAAAAAAGTGTGGCTTATTGATAGAGTGCTTGCCTAGCATGCATGAAGCCCTGGGTTCAATTCCTCAGCACTACATAAACAGAAAAAGCAGGAAGTGTCACTGTAGCTCAAGTTGTAGAGTGCCTTGAGCAAAAAGAAGCTCAGGGGCAGTGCCCAGGCCCTGAGTTCAAGCTCCAGGACTGGCAAAAAGAAAGGGAGAGGGGGAAGGAAGGGAGAAAAGGAAGGAAGGAAGGAAGGGAAGGGAGAAAAGGAAGGAAGGGAAGGAAGAAAAGGAAGGAAGGAAATGAAGGAAGGAAGGAAAGGAAGGAAGGAGGGAAGGAGAGAAGAGAGAAATTTCAAGCCAGTCACTGGCTTGTGCTTATAATCCTAGCTACTCAGGAGGCTGAGATCTATGGATCGTGGGTCCAAGCCAGCCTGGGTAAGAAAGTCCGTGAGACTAATCTCCAATAAACCACCAGAAAATTAGAAATGGAGTTGTGGCTCAAAGTGGTAGAGCACTAGCCTTGAGCAAGAAGAACTCAGGAACAGTGCCCAGACCCTGAGTTCAAGCCCCAGGACTAACCAAAAAAGAAAGAAGAAAGAAAACAAATTCCAATCCCTGGTCTCACTGCCAGAATACATGACAGGAAAATACCACTTCATCTTCTGACCAGGAAGCCTAGTGCAAAGATTCTCCACAGTCTCCTAAAGGGGGCATACCCACATTTACCTGAAGACTTCTCACTAGTACCTACCTCCCCCAAAGTGCCAAACTCTGGGGACCAAGCCTTTACTACAGGAACTGTTGGGGACATTTATGTAAACCTTAACACCAATTATTGGAATGTACATTCTCACATTTAAAAATGCTGTGGTAGTCTAAAGAACAGTTTAAAAGAAGCCTTTAATGAGATTGCTCATTATTTATACATTGAGAAAGTAGTGTGTAGTTTAAATAGTGTTGATGACTTTCCTTCTTTAAGAGTCCAATCAAAAAAATAAACATATTAGAATTGGGGAGAGGGAGACAAAAAACTTTTTGCAAGTAACTTCTGTGCATGTTTTGGGTTTTTTTTAGTGTATGTTTTATTTAGACAATATCTATTGAAGTAGCTTAATTTGTCCAGAGAAAAATCTTAAAGTGATATAATCTAATCTTTATAACAAAATTATCTTTATACTATTAAAACGATAAGATATTTTTCTATTTGTTGTGATATATTATTTTTCCCAAAATATCTCAAAGTTTTCAACAATGATTTATCTCAGTAGTTTCAACAAAATAATACAGGAAGGCAAATTAGCAGTAGATTCTCAGCTGCCCTTTACTTATTTTTTTAGTCTTACAAATCTCACCTGTTTGCTTTTAAATCATGTTGTTTCTGATTCTAGGCTTCTTATATTGGAACAGCTTTTGAACAGTATAAAGCACACAAAAGGAGTTCGTCAGCAAGTAGTTCAGCTGCATGTTGTTTCTTCTATTTCTAATTTCTTGAAGGTAAATCTTGTTGTTTTTTTTTATTCAAACTTTGCTTAATTTTTAAAATGTCCCTGTCTAATTAAATAGATTAGAGGATGGGGTTTTTAAAGGACTTACTGTTCTTTTTTTCTTGATCTCCTTATAAACAATGTTTATAAACAATGGCTCAGGGTTTTGAATACTCCTTCTACTACTTTTTCTCTACATAGAACTTGTTAGTTAGAAATAAAATATATATGGCCTAGGCTTACAACCATGCTGTAACCTACCGAATCTGACATCCTAGACCAAGAGATTGATAAATTGTTTATTGACCAGATTTAGCTCAATATTGTACTTAAAGCTCAACATTGCATTTACAATGTAACTAATTCTAAATTGAAATACTTTAGTCTTTATTAATTACTCATTTTATGAGCATCTCTGATAATGGTGCTCCAGATATTTTATGCCAACATGCTAATTATTGCCATATTGTTTTGCCTCTTTAGAAAAATAAACTAAAATTCTATTTTTTGATCAGTTATATACACACACATACACACACACACACATACACATATATATACATGTATATTACATTCTGATTTTCTCAGTATATGAACATTTGGATTGTTCTTTATGTATTTTAGTACCTGGCTGGCTCCAAGGGAAGTTTAAGTCCAGAAGAAATAAGAAGAGTTGTCCTAACATTAGTAATGGGAGCCCTAGAAAGTACCAACCCCCTTTTGAGATGTACAGCCGCAGAAGCCTGGGCTAGATTAGCCCAAGTGGTTGATGATGGAGTTTTTACTGCCGGGTTAGCTCAAGTTAGCTTTGAAAAGTAAGTGAATTTCTTAATTTATACTCATGGGCTCTATGTCAAAACTACGTGTAACTTATTTGTTCAAATTAGCAGAAACTTTGTTCTGAGATTTAACTAAGTAATTCTGTTCACTTAAAAACACAAAATAAAAGAGACCCTTTTGACCTAACATAAAATTATTACTATTTGAACTTCAATCTTTTGAGATACTTCTGGGGTTTTGTCATATATAATATAGATGATCAATTGTAAGAAGAACCTACAGGAAAAGGGAAATATACAGAATACACATCAGAAAAAAATAAACTTTTTATTTTACCAAGTCTATAACTCGTGGTAGGTTCCTTAATACTCTTAGCAGTTTTCTTTTTTTCTCTTTTTTGAACTGAGAGCCTTGTGTTTAGCCATATTCCCAACCCTTTTTACCCTCATTTTTTAAATAGGATCTCATATGTATGCCAGAGCCACATATGTATGCCAATCTGCCTATTTACAATTGCCATATAGCTAGGATGACAGGTACATGCCACCACTTCCCCTGTTGATTGAGGTGGGGTCTCTTATTTATGCCTTCAGCTGCATTCCTTTTGATCTCCACCTACTGAGCAGCTAGGATTGAAGGTATGAACCACTGGTATCTGGTTACTTTTCTACAATTTTGAATAGATGGTTGATTATATATCCTACCTGTCTAAGAATCTTTTTTTAAAATAATTTTTTATTGCGATTGATTACATAAATTTCACAAATTTCACAGTATGGTGAGATAGTGATACTTCATCAAGAACACATTTTAACCTTTTCACAAGGCAAATTGTCATTATCATTCATGGTCTATAATGTTTGTGAATTCTATGGGCTTTGACAGTACAACCCTTTCTTCCACATTGGGTGATATGTACATTTCTTTCCTTTTGCTTAGTGTAAGCTGTTCCCTCTTTCCCTCTCATTCCTCCCTCCCATTACTGCCCTTGAGTTGCTTCGTTCATTTTCATCATGTCCAGTGCAGATGATGGGCTCCTCTGTTGTATATTTTCCCATTTCCCTCTGATTCTGTGTCTTCCTCTGAGCTTCCCTCAAATATGCTCATACATATATCATATATGTGGTCAAGAATATGGAGTTGCTGGCGCCAGTTCACTCCTGTAATCCTAGCTACTCAGGAAGCTGATATCTGAGCATTGCAGTTCAAAGCCAGCTCCAGCAGGAAAGTCTGTGAGACTCTTATCTCCAATAAACCACTCAGAAAACCAGAAGTGGCTCAAGAAATAGAGCGCTAGCCTTGAACTGAAATGCTGAGAGACAGCACCCAGGCCCAGAGTTCAAGCCCCATGACCGACAAAAAAAAAAAAAAAAAAAAAAAGAACATGAAGTCATTTAGAAATGATATGACAAATTGAGTGGAGGTCCTTTGTTTTACAAGTCTTGTTTACTTTGTCATACCTCCTTGCATTTTGGATTTAACATCCACATATCAGAGAGACCATGTGCTGCTTATCTCTCTGCTCTAGGCTCACCTTGCTCAACATGAGTTGTTCTAGGTCCATCCATTTCCCTGCAAATGCCATTATTTTGTCCTTTCTAATGGCTGCATAATATTTCATGTATACAGGTACCACAATTTTTGGATCCATTTATCTGTAGTGAGGCATCTGGGTTGTTTCCATATCTTGGCTATTGTGAACAGTGCAGTGAACATGGAGGTGCATGTATACTGGTTCCTGTTGTTCAGGGTAGATGCCCAGGAGTGGTATGGCTGGGTCATAGGGGAGGTCTATGTTTAGTTTTCTGAGGTACCTCTAGACTGCTTTCCAAAGTGGTTGGATTAGTGTACATTCCCACCAGCAATGCAGTAGGGTTCCACTTTCTCTGCATCCCCACCAGCATTTGTTGTTGGCTGAATTAGGATGTGGGCCATTCTGACTGGGGTTAGGTAGTATCTCAGAGTTGTTTTTATTTGCATTTCCTTTACAGCCAGAGATGATGAACATTTCCTCATGTGTTTCTTTTTTGTTTGTTTGTTTGTGGTCTTGGGGCTTGAACTCTGGGCCTAGGCACTGTCCCTCAGCTCTTCGGCTCAAGGCTAGTGCTCTACCACTTAAGCCACAGTGCCACTTCCGGCCTTTTCCGCTTATGTGGTGCTGAGAAATCGAACCCAGGGCCTCATGCATGCAAGGCAAGCACTCTACCACTGAGCCACCTTCCCAGCCCCTTTGCCATTTTTATCTCCTTCTGAGAAGTCTCTCTCTAGTTCCTTTGCCCATTTAATGATTGGCTTGTTAGATTTGGGAGGGATTAGTTTCTTGAGTTCTCTGTATATAACGGATATTAGGCCCTTGTCTGATATATTGCTGGCAAATATTTTTTCCCAATAAGTTGGCTGTCTTTCTAGGTTGGGTAGCTATATTTTTAGCTTTTAGTTTAAGGTAGTCCCATTTGTCAAGTCTCTCTCCAATTTGTTGTGACCCTGAGCCTCTGTTCAGGAAGTTCCTGCTTGTGCCTAGAAGTTCAAATGTCCTTCAGTAGTTTCAGAGTTTCAGGTTTGATGTTAAGGTATTTAATCCATTTTGAGTTGATGTTAGTGCGTGGTGACAGGCTGGGATCCACTTTTAGTTTTTTGCATGTAGCTGCCCAGTTTTCCCAGCAGCAATACTATCTAAATCTTAAGGCCGGCCAGACACCAGTGGCTCACACCTATAAATCTTAGCTACTAAGGAGCCTGAGATCTGAGGATCATGGTCAAAGCTAGCCCAGGAAGGAAAGTCTATGAGACTCTTACCTCCTATTAACCACCAGAAGTGGAACTGTGGCTCAAATAGGAGATTGTTGGCCTTGAGCCAAAAAGGTCAGGGATAATGCCTAGGGCCCCTAGTTCAAGTCCTGGGACCAGCACGCATGCATGCATCTGCACATGTGCACGCCTGCGCACACGCTTACACACACACACACACACACACACACACACACACACACACACACACACACAAGAATCTTAAGGTAAAAGAGTAATATGAATATTAACATGAGAAAATTGTTTTTTGTTTTCAGTTACAAATATATACTCATGATTATAAGAATCTCAATTCTACTATTTCATAGAAGTTACTTTATGACAAGTAGTTCAGCTATCATCTTGAAAGTTTCCTCATCTATAGAAAGGAACTATAGTATCATGAAGTATAGGGTTAAAAGGATTAAAGAGCTAAATAAACTACCACATAGTAAATAGAAAATTCCTAATAAATCTTAAGTTTCTTCCTATATTTAATTTTGATCACAAAATTCTTAACTTAATGATAATGTAGTAATAAGTCCTCCCTTACAAACTTAGGAGTTGGGATGGAAGATACTAGAAGTGGCCATACTAAAATGATCATTAATAACATAAAGACTTTTTTATTTAAAATGTTCTCCTTGAAAGATAACTTTCAGCCAGGCACCAGTGGCTCATGCCTGTAATCCTAGGTACTTAGGAGGCTGAAATCTGAGGATCACGGTTCAAAGCCAGCCCAGGCAGAAAAGTCTGTGAGACTCTTATCTCCAGTAAACTTTTTATCATTTCACCAAAAATATATTTCTTAATTTTATAACTTTTTATAAGGAATTTTGCCTTATATAAGAAAGTTATGGCCGGGTGTCAAAATCCTAGCTACTCAGGAGCCTGAGATCTGAGGATTGCAGTTCAAAGCCAGTCCAGGCAGGCTCAAGTGGTTGAGTGCTAGTCTTGAGCTGAAGAGCTGAAGGATAGTGACCAGGCCGAGAGTTCAAGCTCCATGACCGAGAAAAAAAGAAAAAAGAAAAAAAGTTATGTATATGTATGAATTTTTGTTTGGTTTTGTTTCTTCTTTTCTGTGTTTGTCATTTATTTTTATTTCCATAATTATAGATTGAAGTCAGCAAGGGATGTGGTTACCAGAACAGGATATTCACTAGCCTTGGGATCCTTGTATAGGTATTTAGGAGGAATAAGTTCTTCTCAACATTTGAATTCTTGCATTGGAATCCTCTATACTTTGTCTCAGGACAGCACCTCTCCTGATGTGCAGGTAAGGACCTCATGTGATACCTTCCTTGAAATTGATGATTTGTGGGTGATGTAGATTACATTTCATGATTACTAATAATACCTGCCCCAAAGATTACTAATAATAATAATACCTGCCCCAAAGTAAGTGTCAAGGGCTGGGAAGTTGGCTCAGTGGTAGAGCGCTTGCCTTGCATGCCTGAGGCCCTGGGTTCGATTCCTCAGCACCACATAAGCAAAAAGAAAAAAGCCAGAAGTGGCGCTGTGGCTCAAGTGGTAGAGCACTAGCCTTGAGCTGAAGAGCTGAGGGACAGCACTCAGGCCCAGAGTTCAGGCCCCATGACTGGACCCCCCCCCCCCCCAAAAAAAAAAAGAAACAAAGTAAGTGTCAAAGCTACTGTTAATCTTTGATGGATTTTTTAAAATTCAAGGCTATCTTTCCCTCACACTCAGAATGGTCTGAAGTAAAGTTCAGTTTCTTTTTCTAAAAATGGGTCATCCTTCTATCATAATTATAGCTACTATTTTGGAGATCATAACAGGTCCCAGACATGCTTCTAAGTTAGCATATTAGTTCTCACAGTAATGTAAGGAAAATATAAGGCATATAGAAGTTAAATAACTTTCTCGGTTACGTGAAAAGGTAACAAATGCAGATTATAGACTTAAAACCTATATGTGATTGTACCATATTTCTATCAGTAAAATTGTCATTTTTCTGATGACTTAATCAACTCTGGAATGAGTTATAATCTAGTCTTTTACTTTCCTAATCTTATCTCTTTATGTGAGTGCCTAATTACCTTAGTAGCCTGCTTAAATAGGTCATGTTACTTCTAACCCATGTTACTTTTAACCCATGTTTAAATACGGTAGTTTGTTACTTTGTGCTTCTGTTATATTTCTCTTCACTCCTTATAAGAAATCTGTCCTCTTGTGCATAATTTTAAAAGTGAATACTTTTTTTGTTTTTCATTCTGGTATTGGGGCTTGAACTCAAGGTCTGGGTGCTGTTCCTTAGCTTTTTCACTCAAGCTAGCTCTTAACCACTTGGGCCACAGATTCACTTCCTGCTTCTTGGTGGTTAATTAGAGATCAGAGGCTCCCAGACTTTCTTGCCCAGTTGGGCTTCAAACCTCAATCCTCATATCTTACCTCCTGAGTAAGAATTACAGGAGTGAGCCACTGGTACCCAGTGTGAATACCTTTTTATTGATGAGCTTAAATGTTTCTTTCTGTAGTTGCCCATGTCATCCATCCTTATTGATCTTGACACTAGGGTCATAACTCCATGATAGAACATACACTTACCATTACTAAGCCCTGGTTTCGATCTGGGCACCAAATATTGTCATCATTATCATCCTGAGTCTTTTTGACTGCCGTTATTTATCTAACAGATAGGAACTGATTTTTATAGCATTTTAAGTTTTATGAGAACTATATAGCCATTGATGAAGAGATAAAATCCTTCCAGTTCACTTACTGAAGGGAGAATTTTTTTTACTTGCTTCTTGTTATGGAACATTCAAATATCCACAGAAGTAGAAAAATACTGGATGAGCCTATTTGACTTATGATTAAGCTTCAGTATTTATAAGTGTATGTCCAGTTTTATTTCATTTAAACTGTAGTATATATTTCTCTATGTAATTAATATTACACCTGCTCTGAGAGTACATGGCTGTGTGTAAGATGTGTAAATTGAAGGGCTGGAAGTATGGTTCAGTGGCAGAGTACTTGCCAGGTAAATTCAAGGCCCAGAATTTAAACAGCTGTGCTGTCAAAAGAAAGAAAGAAAGGAGGAAGGAAGGAAGGAAGGAAAGAAGAGAGAGAGAGAAAAGGAAAATAAGAAGGGGAAGAGAAAAAGAAAATGATAAAGGCCCTGAATTTAAAAAGCTATGCGAAAGAAAGAAAGGAAGGAAGGAAGGAAGGAAAAAAAGGAAAAAAAGAAGGGAAAGAGAAAAAAAATGATGGAGTCTCTGAATTTAAACAGCTGGCCAAAAGAAAAGAAGGAAGGAAGGAAAAAAAGAAGGGAAAGAGGGAAAAAAAATGATGGAGTCTCTGAATTTAAACAGCTGGCCAAAAGAAAGGAAGGAATGAAAGAAGAAAGAAAGAAAGAAAGGAAGGAAGGAAGGAAGGAAGGAAGGAAGGAAGGAAGGAAGGAAGGAAGGAAGGAAGAAAGGAAGAAAAGAAGAGGAAGAGAAAAAGAAAATGATGGGGAGGGGAGAGACAGTGTAAGAGAAAAAAATGTAAAAACTACATGGCCTAACAAGGATCTGGATCAAGAAAATACAGCAGACAGGGCTGGGAAGGTGGCTCAGTGGTAGAGCACTTGCCTTGCATGCATGAGGCCCTGGGTTCGATTCCTCAGTACCACATAAGCAAACAGAAAAAAGCCAGAATTGGCACTGTGGCTCAAGTGGTAGAGCACTAGCCTTGAGCTGAAGAGCTGAGGGACAGCGCCCAGGCCTAGAGTTCAGGCCCCACAACAGGACCCAAAAAAAAAAAAAAAGAAAATACAACAGACATTTTTCTCATGCTGTGTTTTGTTTAGCTACTCACCTCACTATTACTGTCCTGATTTGCAGCAGTATAAAGTTGGTTCATCTCCTTTTATATTTTACAACAGAATTATACTGTATGTACTCATGTCTGGCCTCATTTTGTTCATGTGAATTGTCCATATTGTTGCATGTAATTGTAGATTTTTTTAGTCCTTTTAAGAACTTGAATTTTCATTATTTATGTAGATTAAACAATAAAGAGTTTTGACAAACTATATTTTTAGCTAAAGTGTCAAATAACCTGCAATTTTTTATGCTGAACTTTATCTTAGTTTCTATTTCTAAGTTTGATGAGTTCTCTGAGTTGGTTTTATATTGGATATTTCTTTTTTTTTTTTGGTCAGTCGTGGGGCTTGAACTCTGGGCCTGGGCACTGTCCCTCAGCTCTTCAGTTCAAGGTGAGCGCTCTGCCACTTGAGCCACAGCGCACTTCTGGTTTTCTGGTGGTTAATTAGAGATAAGAGTCTCACAGACTTTCCAGCCCAGGCTGGCTTTGAATCACTATCCTCAGATCTCAGCCTCCTGAGTAGCTAGAATTACAGGCGTGAGCCACCAGCTCCTGGCTTATATTGGATATTTAAAGAGACAATTTTCTTAAACTCATAAATTCTGTTTTTTTTTTTCTAAATAGTAGTAGTACACTCGTGCTTTATTTGTTATTACTTTGTCAACAGTTGACTCTTGTGTTTCTTCATCTCCTGTAATATTTTTAATTGTTTTCTGTCTTCACAGACCTGGGCACTACATTCTCTGTCATTAATCATTGACTCTGCGGGTGCACTCTACTATGTGCATGTAGAACCCACCCTTTCGCTCATTATCCTGTTGTTGTTAAATGTGCCTCCAACTCATGCTGAAGTCCACCAAAGTCTAGGTCGCTGCTTGAATGCCCTCATTACCATGTTAGGTCCAGAGCTACAAGGTATGTATGCATTGGCTGCTTTTGTACTATTTTACATGAAAACGTATACACATAAAATTGAACTCAGTTTCTAGTTATATGGTTGGCACATAGTAGGTACACAGTATCTTCTGGTAAATGAATGTATAAGTGTCATTCAACTCAAATTTAGAAAAATAAGATATGTTACTCACACCTGTAATCCTAACTACTGAGGAAGTTGAGATCCAAAGGATCATTGTCTGAAGCCAACCCAAGCCAAAAAAAAAAAGTTAATCTATGCATCTGTGAACATTTTAATTCTTCAGGGATGTTCAGACATAAAGCAGAATAGTAAAAAGAATCTCTGAGAATTGACTTAGCTCAAATATTTGGAGCTGTTCTAATTGGTTTAATACAAGATTTTAATATATGAAAGTGATTCTTAACTAACACAGTAGGACTAAATTTATTACAAGTTTCTATTTTTACTTTTTATAAAGCCTTGTTAAAATCTGTAGTCTTTAATTCTTTCTTACCTAATTATTTGTATTGTAATAGCCATTTCTATTGAGAATAACTAATCTTATTTTTATTTTCAACTCCAGGCCTCACATTTGCTAGTCAAATGCTCTGCTATTTATACCTCCAACACTTTTTTGCCTTAGTAATTTTTCTAGTAAAGTCTTCAGTGTTTTGCCCAAGCCCAGCCTCAGATTAGAATTTATCCAGTTCTACGTCCTGCATAACTGAGATCACAAATGTAAACTACCACACCCAGTTTATTGGTTGAGATAGATTATTAACATTTTTTTGCGCAAAGTGGCCTTGAACCATGCTTCTTTTAATTTTCATTTCCTAAGTAGCTGGGATTGCAAGCCTTGCCTCTGATCTACAAATTTGTCATCTAGACATGGACACACTGAGTATGTTACCTAGTGCCTCACACATGCTAAATTCATGTTCTACTGAGTTGTGCCCATAGCACCATCCCTTTTGTAGTAGAATTTTACTTCAAAGGTCCTTAAGTTTAAAACTGAAAACAAGTTTTAAAACCTACTAATATATGTTTAAAACAAATGATTTTCTAGGCCAATTATTAATAGTTTGGCTTTTTATTTTAGGTAACAATACTTCAGTTTCAATGTTAAGGACTTCTTGTCTGTTGGGTTGTGCAGTGATGCAGGATAACCCAGGCTGTCTTGTTCAGGCTCAGGCCATCTCTTGCCTTCAGCAGCTGCACATGTTTGCTCCACGACATGTCAACTTGTCTAGCCTGGTTAACAGCCTCTGTGTGAGTATAAAGCTATAAATGAGTTCCTTCTTGCTTTTACTTGAAATGTAGATTATTCCAGTTAATTGCCTTCTGGACTGTGTACAAAATTATATGTTTTATACATATTTTTTTCAGTCTATTTTGGAAATGGTAAGGCAGTTTTCATATATTTACTTCCAAATCTCTTATGAATGGGTTTACTTTTTTAATATTTGGAATATTAATTCATATATATAAACATATACCTAGATGCTTCTTATAGTGTCCTAGGAAATATAGTGCTGTAGGGCACACAAATATTTATGAAGTGTCTCCTTTTTTTGTCCTATATTCTAAATTATTATAAAGAGGCTGGAGGCATGGCTTAGCAGTAGCATGCCTGGCTAGCAAGGTTGAAGCCCTGGGTTTCAAACCCCAGTATCACACACACACACACAAAAGTGAATAAATTATAATATAAAATGAAATTTTTTCATCTAAATTGGAGAACAAATAAAATGTATACTTGAAATTTAACAACATATATATCATCTAGATTCTTTTTCTGTGTGTTGTTGCTGGTCCTGAGACTTGAACTCAAGTCCTGGGTGCTGTCCCTGAGCTTTTGTGCTTTAGGCTACTACTTGAGCCACAGCTTTGCTTCTGGCTTTTTGGTGATTAATTGGAGATATGACTTTCATGGGACTATCCTACCTGGGCTATCTTTGAACCTTGATTCTCAGATTTCAGCCTCCTGAGTGGCTAGTGTTATAAGTGTGAGCAAATGGCACTCAGCCAATATGAGTTTTTATAAGCTATCTAACAAATGTAAAAAGATGAAGACAAAGCTAAGCATAGTAAGACCCTGTCTCAAACAAATTAACAAAGATAGACAGTCAACTAGAAGTTCTGATGAAATTGTTTTAATTGTTGTTGGTTTGGGTTTTGTTTTTGTTTTTGTTTTGTCTGTCTGGGGCTTGAACTCTGGGCGTGGGCACTGTCCCTCAGCTTTTCAGCTCAAGGAAAGCACTGTACCACTTGAGTCACTTCTGGTTTTCTAGTGATTAATTGGAGATAAAAATGTCACAGACATCCCTGCCTGGACTGGCTTTGAACTGTGATCCTCAGATCTCAGCCTCCAGAGTAGCTAGGATTACAGGCGTGAGCCATCAGCGCCCAGCTAATGAAATGGATTTTTTTGTTTGTCTTTTTGGTCGGTCATGGGGTTTGAACTCTGGGCCTGGGAACTGTCCCTCAGCTTTTAAGCTCAAGGAAAGTGCTCTACCACTTGAGCCACAGCACCACTTCTAGTTTTCGGGTGGTTTATTGGCAAGAAGAGTTTCACAGACTTTTCTGCCTGGGCTGGCTTTGAACCATGATCCTCAGATCTCAGCCTCCTGAGTAGCTAGGATTATAGGCATGAGCCACCAGTGCCAGGCTTGATAAAATGGTTTTATAAGCATTATTCTTTTTATGTTTTTCTTAAACTGTGACCAGTGTCTACCTGAAATTGAGTTGCTTTTCAACTCTTACTGTACAATTTTTATAGCATACTCCCATTAATAACATGGTAGTTGAGCCGGGCGCTGGTGGCTCACGCCTGTAATCCTAGCTACTCAGGAGGCTGAGATCTGAAGATCGCGGTTCAAAGCCAGCCCGGGCAGGAGAGACCGTGAGACTCCTATCTCCAATAAACCACCAGAAAACCAGAAGTGGCGCTGTAGCTCAAGTGGTAGAGCGCTCGCCGTGAGCTGAAGAGCTGAGGGACAGCGCCCAGGCCCAGAGTTCAAGCCCCATGACCGACCAAAAAAAAAAAAAAAAAATTACATGGTAGTTGAGAAGCTTTAATTTAGACAGTCCTTTCATTTCCAAGCTTAAAGCAAAATAGACAGCATTTCAGAGCTTGAAAGAATCTGAAAATTTGTTGTATAGATCATCTTTGTATTTACAAAATGATGTTTGCATCATTTAAACCAGTCTTAATAAAAAGATAATCTAAAAACCACTAAGTTAATAACTTGCCCAAGGTAATAAAACTAGGTAGTAGCTAATTCTAAGTGTAGATTCCAGGATTCTAGAATCCTCACTCAGTCATCATTCCAATATTTGATGATGCCTTTGTAGATTTTATGGCTAGATCATGTCGGAACTCTGTCACCTCTTAACTGTGTGGCTGTAGGTATATCCAGTAATCTCTTCCAGTCTCAGCTACTTTACCTGGTAACTACAAGATCTACAGGATCTATAGAAAAGCATATGTCCTAAGCATTTAGTTAGCATTCAGTAATCATAGTAGGTTTTTTTGTTTTGACATGTTTAAGCAAGTCATTGAATTATTGATGCTAGTCATCACATAAAATTCAAAAGGAAAGCCGGGCGCTGGTGGCTCACGCCTGTAATCCTAGCTACTCAGGAGGCTGAGATCTGAGGATCGCGGTTCAAAGCCAGCCCGGGCAGGAGAGACTGTGAGACTCCTATCTCCAATAAACCACAGAAAAACGGAAGTGGCGCTGTAGCTCAAGTGGTAGAGCGCTCGCCTTGAGCTGAAGAGCTGAGGGACAGCGCTCAGGCCCAGAGTTCAAGCCCCACGACCGACCAAAAAAAAAAAATTCAAAAGGAAGGCAAGTGGGATGCCAATGGCTCACAACTATAATTCTAACTACTTAAGTGGCTAAGATGCTGGGCACCGGTGGCTCATGCCTGTAATCCTAGCTACTCAGGAGGCCGAGATCTGAGGATCGTGGTTCAAAGCCAGCCTGAGCCAGAAAGTCCGTAAGATTCCTATCCCCAATAAACCACCAGAAAACCAGAAGTGGCACTGTGGCTCAAGTAGTAGAGTACTAGCCTTGAGCGGAAGAGCTGAGGGACAGCACCAAGGCTCAGAGTTCAAGCCCCATGACCAACAATAAAAAAGGAGGGGAGTGGGGGACTAAGATCTGAGGATCGCAGTTTCTAGCCATCTGAGGCAGGAAAGTCCATGGTGTAACTCATGTCCAGTTAACCATCAAAAAGCTGGACAGATCTGTGGATCTGGCTCAAGTGGTAGAGTGTTAGCCTTGAGCAGCAAAGCTCAGGGACAGTGCTCAGGCCTTAAGTATAATTTCCAGAACCAGCACTCACAAAAGCAAAGATATGATAGACTTTTTTGACAAAAACTTAAATTTCTCTGGGTTGTTTGTTTTTAAAAGAATTTACAGAAAAAGAATTGTAAACCAGGTGAAGTGACTTATGCCTAATAATCCTAGCTACTCAAGAGGTTGAGATCTGAAGATATTAATTTTCTCAGGCTAGGAAGTATAAAGTCTGTGAACCAAAAGTGGAGCTGTGGTTCCACTTTTTTTTTTATTAGAATGCTAGCTTTGAACGAAAAAGCTCAGGGACAGTGGCCAGACCTGAGTTTAAGCCCCAGGACAAGCAAAAAAGACAAGTTACATATAAAGAGCAATCAAGCTAAGTGCTCATGCTCAGGTTGAGATCTGAGGATCATGGTTCAAAGCCAGCTTAGACAGGAAAATCTTTGAGACTCTTATCTCCAATTAACCATCAGAAAACAAAAGTGTAGCTGTGGCTCAAAGTAGTAGAGTGCTAGCATTAAGCAAAAACAGCTCAGGTAAAGCCCCAGGCCCTGAGTTCAAGCCCCATGACAAAAAAAAAAAAAAAAATCAAGACTACTGTGATATTTTTCTATTTTTCTTTTGGATAAACTGTGCAATTAAGAGTATCTACATTAATAATTTCAAATCTTTTTCATATTGCTCATAATATTGACCAGTAAAATGATCCTTTTATATAGAACAATTTTAAAAAATTATCACTACATTAATTTTGTGTCTTATATTTTAGTTACTCATTCTTGATTTAGTAGATGGAACTTATATTTTCCAGTTCTTTTTCTGAAGTAAATTGCATTTCATCATCACACAAGAGTCATGCTGTAAAGGTTTTTGTCTTAACTGCATGCTCTTTAACTTCCATAGTTAAACTTGGCTTTACCTATGCTAGCAGTTTTGAGTACTCTCAGTTCTAAAACTTGGCCTTCAAGGGCCAGAAAAAAAAAATCTATAATTAACTTGTGATGAAATAAACCATTAACTTTGTCTCTTGCTGGATTGTATTCATGTGAATACAATCCAGGTCACTTCTCTTTGGACATGTATCCTTGATCTTAATTTTAATTCTGAGACTTGACCAGAGATTATATTAAAAAAAAAAAAAAAAAAAAACCTCATTACACAAATGTACATTCATTTTTTTTTTCTTTTGCCAGTCCTGGGTCTTGAACTGTTCCTGAGCTTCATTTGCTCAAGGCTAGCACTCTACCACTTGAGCCACAGCTCCACTTCCAGCTTTTTCTCTTTATATGATACTAAGGAATCAAACCCAGGGCTTCATGCATGCTTAGCAAGCACTCTACCACCAAGCTACATTCCCAGCCCCACAAATGTACATTTCTAAATTATTATGTGCTTTATGTCTTTACATCTTTAGTTAACTATTTTCAAGATTTCAGCTCAACTCATCATGCTTTATTAAGTTAAAAAAGGTGTGTGCCATATTTTTTAACTGAAGCTAAGCCAGTTTGAATGATAACTATCAACATTTACATTTTAATGCTTAGCTGACTGTTAACCAAAGTCATCCTAGTATTTATCTCTTGGTTTTGTCATGACTGGTCTGTCATTTGTTTTTGTGCAGGAGATCTTGTTGGATAATTCTGTGTTGGTAGGTCCCTGACCCTTCATTCCTAACATTTTTTTTGAGGTTTGCAGTGCTGTTTCTTTGTGTCATTTTTCTTTGGTTTTAGATGCTCTTGTTTTTGTCTGCATCTCTGTGGTTAAGTTAATCATTAATGCAAAGCCCAGTATTATAGCATGTTATATGGTGTTTAATACCAATATAAACAAATCTTTCCTGACCTCCTCCAGCTGGTGTCCTCACTTCTTGCACTGAATTTTGCATCATTTTGATTTAATATGTTCATTTCAGAAAGGAGTTGTGATTACAGTTTGATTTAATTTCTGTATTTTGCTTGCCTTGTTTGTTTGCCTTAACCCATTCTATTGAAGTGCTGGAGAATGACATGGAGCTATTAAGCCTCCTATTTTGCTTTGTGCTATAGCATTCAATCTGTATCATACCACATAAAGAATATATCCCAGCATGCTTTAAGATTGTTTGACCATCCTGAAAAAATGCTGCACTTGTCTTGTGTTACATGCTTGTAAAATTCATTGAAATAGCTAGTAGGTTCATTAACGTTTCTTTAAAATTGCCATATAATATGCTTTTTTATTGTAATTGTTATATACAGCAGTAATCTTGGGCATGAGTAAATGTAATTTTTTTATATTTTAACTTCTCTGTTATCCTATGTACTAGTTTCTAACAACAGAACAGAACCATGACTGAAATGACATTACCTTGAGACATGTGTGAGTGGCATTCCTCTGCAATCTACATTGGAATTTTTTATATAGCTTGCTTGTGAAATAGAACATACTTGCAAAGCAGTTCCCATCCTTCTGTTTCACTGATGATATAGTAACTAATTTCTTCTGGTTTGGGAAGTATGATAAAATTGAAGATTCAGTACTTTCTACATGTGTTTTATACATAGAAAACTAGCATCACCTACCTTTTTTTTTTTCCTCTCTGAATCTGCTCTTTACAACAAATTCATTCACTTTACCTCTCTCCTATAGACCACGTCACCATAAGATGATTATCAAAATTATGCATTGTTTCTCAAAATTTACTTTGAGAAACACTATCACAAAAATATATATTGCGCTGAGTGATGGCCAAGTTGTAAAGGGTGTGCTTAAAAAAAATGGGCTACACCAACATGATCTGTCCTGCTTAGAAGAAAATAAAATTCAAATTTCTAAATTTTGTATTATTAATGAAACCATTTAATAAAAATTTGTATCTGACAACCCAAGTGTGATGGAACACACCTGTAATTCCGGCACTCAAGAGACAAGGATAATATGCAGTTTGAGGCCAGTCTGGACTACATAGCAAGTTTCACCCCTTCTAGGGCTATATAGTGAGACTTGGTCTCAAAACATTTTAAATAAGCCAGGCACCGGTGGCTCATACCTGTAATTCTAGCTACTCAGGAGGCTGAGATCTGAAGATCATGGTTCAAAGCCAGCCTCCGGCAGCAGACTCTTATCTCCAATAAAACACTCAGAAAACCAGAAGTGGCACAGTGGCTCAAGTGGTAGAGCTCTAGCCTTGAGCTGAAGAGCTAGGGACAACATTCAGGCCCAGAGTTCATGCCCTATGATCGAAAAAATAAATAAATAGAATAAAATCACATCCAGGAACCCCTAACTTACAATTATTATTTGAGTACATCACAGTTCTTATCATTTGCTATAGGGAGACACTAAGTTTACTTAGATGTACATGATAGCTCTATGATATGTACATATATGTGTATTTATACAGATGTATACATATATGTAAATTTTGATATTCTGTAATCTTAAGAGCATTTTTGCTGAATATGTTTTCTGAGTAAAACTGCTATTTAAGGATTCATTGACTTTCTATTTATGTCTTCTGAATGAAATACTGTTTTAATAATAAAATTTTTGACATTATTATTTGATATAAGTACTCTAAAAGTTATGTTAACTTCCCAACAGGCTTGTGAAATGAGATAATGATGTTATAAATCAGGAAACTAAGACACACAGAGATTAAATAACTTGCCCAAGGTCACTCAGCTAATAAGTGGTGGATCTAAGACTCAAACTAAGATGGTTTTAGTCCAGAACCTCCAATCAACCAATGTTACTATATTGCCTATGTTGCTATATTTGTATACATTTCTTAGAGAATCATAAAACATAGTGCATGAGCAAAATTGTATAAGTTCTTTCATCTGTGTTTATCTCTCAAGGCATAAGTTTACTCAAATTCTGTCTTCCAACACTGTCATGAGGCCTTTTCTTGGATTTGTATATGAATATTTTGTAATTTAGTTCATATATTCTTTAAGCTGTTGATAAATTATGTATCATAAATTTTAAGAAGTTTCTTTGTATTTGGTAAATTGTGGTCAGAATGAGGAGAAGAAAGCCTTGTGCACATCTCATAGACTTAGTGATTGCCATGGGAATTTTAGCTCTTTTATTCCCCAAATGGTCTTTTTCAGGTGAATCTTTGTAGTCCCTACTTGTTACTAAGAAGAGCCGTTCTGGCTTGTTTGCGTCAACTTGTACAAAGAGAAGCAGCTGAAGTTTCAGAACATGCTGTTGTGCTTGCTAAGGATAGCAGAGAAGAGTTGACTCCAGGTAATTTTTTTTTTTTTTTGGTCAGTCATCAGGGTTGAACTCTGGGCCTGAGCACTGTCCTTGAGCTCATCTCAAGGCAGTCACTCTACCATATGAGCCACAGCGCCACCTATGGTTTTCTGGTGGTTAATTGGAGATAAGAGTCTCATGGAGTTTCCTGCTAGGGCTGGCTTTGAACCGTGATCCTCAGATTTCAGCTTCCTGAATAGCTAGGATTACAGGCATGAGCCACTGGTGCCCAGCTAGGTAATTCTTTTTGTCAGCATGACATCCAGATCAAATGATTGTTTTAATATTAAATTTTCCATATATACTTGGATTTTTAGAGCAAATCTAAAATTTTACATATAATATGTCTTCAATCTTCTGCAAGAAGCAGGTGCCAACATTTTATTCTGTAAACTTATAAATAATAAAGTCAGGTACCTGTGGCTCATGCCAATAACCCTAGCTACCTGGAAGTCTGAGAATGCTGGGGTCTTGATTTGAGGCCAACTTGGACAGAAAAGTTTGTGAGGTCCCTTGTGAGCCTCATGTTTAGGCACAATGGTATGTGCTTGTCATCTAGCTACATTGGAGGCTGATATCAAAAGGATCACAGTTCCAGACCAGCTGGCAGAAAATTCCACAAGACTCTACCTCAACAGAAAAGTCTACATCTAATGCCATATATTTATCATCCTAGCTAAAACAGGAAGCCTAAAATAGTCAAATAATGGTCCAAGTGTATACCTGGGCAGGAATAAAGCTATTTCTAAAATACCTAGTGAACAAAAAGGGCTGGAAGTATGGTTCAGTGGTGGAATGCCTGCTTAGAAAAGGTGAGGCCCTGAATTCAAACCCCAGTACTACCAATTACTAATACTACTAATAATAATGTCTTAAGTATGTATAGTTTCTATAGTATTGTCATACTTTTAGAAAGTCATAGACTTCACAAAGTTTCCTGATATCATAAAGCCTTCAGATCCATGTGTTTTGCTGTCAGGAGTCTGTACTGTTTATAATTTATATTAAAACATTCATTTGACTGGGTTAATCAGCATATCTAGACTGGCTTAATAATCTAATAATGTCAAACGTTCTTCCCAAAGGGACTTTAAGTTCCTGTTCACTCCTAAAATTGTATCCATTGCTTTATGTTTTCATTGTGTCAGCGTTAGGTACATTTTCCTAGAAATACTGAATTGGTTATATGAGCAAAATTAAAGAACTCATTGTGTTATTATTCTGTAAAAATGTTGTCATTTTCCAAACCCACAGGAAAGTTAGAGCCATGCAGTAAACACATAGATTCTCCTAGTTACTATCTTTATTCCACTTGTTTTATATTTCTGTATCTATTTCTCCATCAACATCCACATACTAATTTTTTCTCAAGTCATTTCAAAGGAACTGCAGAAAATTTATCCCTAAATACTTCAGTTCTCATTTCCCAAAAGTAAGGACATTCTGCAACATAACCACACATTATTTCTATGCATAAGAAAATCAGTGGTTTGGTATATATAGATAAATAAACTATTTCTAGCATAGATTAATAATCCTCAGACTTCTTCCAGTAGTCAAAAAATGTTCTTTCTATTCCAATCAAAATCCCAATGACATTCTTTACTGAAATAGAGAAAACAATCCAAAAATTCATATGGAACAACAAAAGACCTAGAATAGTCAAAGCAATTCTAAGCAAAAGAAAAAACATGAGAGGGCTCATGATACCAGATTTCAAGCTCTACTACTATAGACCCATAATAACAAAGTTTGGTATTGGCACAAACACAGACCCGAAGACCAATGGAATTGATCCAGAAATAAAATCATGTACCTATAGTTAGCTGATATTTGACAGAGGAGCCAAAGACACACAGGAGAAAAAGCACAGTGTCTTCAACTACTGGTGCTGGGAAAACTGGGCGGCTACATGCAAAAAACTAAAAGTGGATCCCAGCCTATCACCATGCATTAACATCAACTCAAAATGGATTAAATGCCTTAACATCAAACCTGAAACTCTGAAACTACTGAAGGACACTTGAACTTCTAGGCAAAGGCAGGAACTCCCTGAACAGAGACCCAGGGTCACAACAAATTGGAGAGAGACTTGACAAATGGGACTACCTTAAACTAAAAGCTAAAAATATAGCTACCCAACTAGAAAGACAGCCAACTAATTGGGAAAAAATATTTGCCAGCAATATATAAGATAAGGGCCTAATATCCATTATATACAGGGAACTCAAGAAACTAATCCCTCCCAAATCTAACAAGCCAATCATTAAATGGGCAAGGGAACTGGAGAGGGACTTCTCAGAAGGAGATAAAAATGGCAAAGGGGCTGGGAAGGTGGCTCAGTGCTAGAGCACTTGCCTTGCATGCATGAGGCCCTGGGTTTGATTTCTCAGCACCACATAAGCAGAAAAGGCCGGAAGTGGCACTGGGGCTCAATTGGTAGAGCACTAGCCTTGAGCTGAAGAGCTGAGGGACAGTACCTAGGCCCAGAGTTCAAGCCCCAAAACCACAAACAAACAAACAAAAAAGAAACCCATGAGGAAATGTTCATCATCCCTGGCTGTAAAGGAAATGAAAATAAAAACAACTCTGAGATACCACCTTACCCCAGTCAGAATGGCCCACATCCTAATTCAGCCAACAACAAATGCTGGTGGGGATGCAGAGAAAGAGGAACCCTACTGCATTGCTGGTGGGAATGTACAATAATCCAACCACTTTGGAAAGCAGTCTAGAGGTACCTCAGAAAACTAAATATAGACCTCCCCTATGACCCAGCCATACCACTCCTCGGCATCTACCCTGAACAGGAACCAGTATACATGCACCTCCATGTTCACTGCAGCACTGTTCACAATAGCCAAGATATGGAAACAACCCAGATGCCTCACTACAGATGAATGGATCCAAAAATTGTGGTACCTGTATACATGAAATATTATGCCGCCATTAGAAAGGACAAAATAATGGCATTTGCAGGGAAATGGATAGACCTAGAACAACTCATGTTGAGCAAGGTGAGCCTAGAGCAGGGAGATAAACGGCACATGGTCTCTCTGATATGTGGATGTTAAATCCAAAATGCAAGGAGGTATGACAAAGTAAACAAGACTTGTGAAACAAAGGACCTCCACTCAATTTGTCATATCATTGCTAAATGACTCCATGTTCTTGACCACATATATTATTTATATATATATGCATATGTATGTGCACATCTGAGGGAAGCTTGGAGGAGGACATAGAATCAGAGGGAAACAGGAACATATACAACAGAAGAGCCCATCATCTGCCCTGGACATCGATGTAAGCTAAGCAACTCAAGGGCAGTGATGGGAATGAGGGAAAGAGACAGCTTACGCTAAGCAAAAAGAAAGAAATGTACATATCACATGATATGGAAGAAAGAGTTGTATTGCCAAAGCTCATAGAATTCACAAACATAGACCATGGTAATGACAATTTGCCTTGTGAAGGTTAAAATGTGTTTGTGACTTTAACTAGGTATCGCTATCTCACAATACTGTGAAATTTATGTAATCAATCACAATAAAAATTATGTTTAAAAAATGTTCTTTCTGACTCCTACCTACCCCCTCACCCTCAATACACAATACATTAGACACTAATCTGAAACATTTATTTACCTTCTTATGATCTTTCAAATAATTCTATCTTCAAAATAGCATAATATTTTAATAAGATTAGTGTTTTATGTTCTTTCTAATTTTTCAAAATGCAGGCAGTAATTCTATGTACATAGCATAAAGTTATTGAATGGAAAAAAGCTAGAGTGAAACAGCTTTAAGTTTTATAGATGGTCACACCTAAGTATTGTAGGAGATTGGTTCCAAGATCCACTATGGATATCAAAATCTTCAGGTAGCATAATCTTTAGAATCTAAATTATTTCGTGTTAGATGGGGTATATCTTCAAGAGGATTTTTGACATTTTCACAATTAAAGGAAGTAGATACTAGATGCTTATAGTTTGAGATGCTCTATTGCTTCCAGTGAGAACATTGTGTTGTAATTGCTGTTAATTTAATAGTTCACAGTAACTTAGTTGTAGTAATTAAACACTTTTCTGTGTGCAATGGTTGTTTTCTGTTCTGTCTATACTCTCACATTCTGGCCTATATGCCAGAATGAGAAAAAATTAATTATTTTTCTTGATTTGAAATTAAATTTAGGGAAAAAGTAAAAGAATCATAGCAAGAAACACTGGATAAAATTATATGTGTACTGCATTGAACATTTATCAGATAATATAACAATACATATTTTTTTTAAAAAATAGCTGCACAGCAGTGCTGGAAATGTAGCTCAAGTGTAGAACACTTGCCTGGCAAATGAGCAGCTGTGCCAGACACCAGTGGCTCACACTTGTAATCTTAGCTACTCAGAAGGCTGAGATTTGAGGATCACGGTCCAAAGCAAGCCCAGGCAGGAAAAGCCGTGAGACTCATCTCCAATAAACCAGCAGAAAACCAGAAGTAGTGGTGTGGCTCAAGTAGTACAGCACCAGCCTTGAGCTGCAGAGCTGAGGGACAGCACCCAGGCCCAGAATTCAAGCCCCATGACCAACCAAAAAAAAAAAGAGAGGGAGAGGCTGTAAGTTCTAGACCCCCTGTACTTAAAAAATAATAATAATGGTTGCACAGGATCAAAGTCATGTAAAATTTAACTGTGGTCTAAGTTATATTTCAGTAGATTAAGGTTTAATATGTAGGCTAGTTCTTTAAGATTTATGTATGTGTAACCTTTAATGAATATTGAATATGTGTGCTTCTCATATGGCAGTTTTGTTTTCTGTATTACTTAGATCACCGGTTTTCTTCTTGTCAGATGCTAACATCAAAGAAATGGGCCTTGAAGGGGCATTATTGACTTTACTAGACAAAGAGACAGATCAGAGATTATGTCAAGATATCAAAGAGACTTTAAATCACATGCTTACATCCATGGCAGTGGAAAAACTCTCCTTTTGGCTAAAGCTTTGTAAAGATGTACTTGCTGCATCTGCAGGTAAGTGCTGCTAATTTGCAGATGAAAGAATAAGATGGGGGGAAAAAATCCTTATACAAAATACCACTTGGAATGCACCAGTTTTATCTACTTGAATTTTAATTGGGTTGTTACTGGTTTCTTCAGGTGATGATTCTACTTGAATTCTCTTTCATTTACACAAAATGAATTCAAAGTGTTCAGATTTGTTTTCCCTTTTGATTGTCCTAAATGATTTTTCAGTATCAAAGAAGCATTTAAACTATTAAAACTATAACCTAATTCATATTAATCCCATTATTTCTTTTCACATATGATAAACACTTATGAGATTGTTTTAAATCAAAAACTACAGAAATCTGCTAGGCTGGTGGCTTATGTCTGTAATCCTAGCTACTCAAGAGGCTGAGATCTGAGGATCATGGTTAAAAGCCAGCCTGGAGAGAAACTCTTGTGAAACTCTTATCTCCAATTAACCACTCAAAAAAAAACAGAAGTGGCCCTGGTAGAGCACTAGCCTTGAGCACAAAGAGGCTCAGGAACAGTGCCCAGGCCCTGAGTTCAAGCCCCACGACTGACTGAAAAAAAAACAAACACAGAGGGCTGGGAAGGTAGCTCAGTGGTAGAGCGCTTGCCTTGCATGCCTGAGGCCCTGGATTCGATTCCCCAGCACCACGTAAGCAGAAAAAAAAAAAAGCCGGAAGTGGCGCTGTGGCTCAAGTGGTAGAGTACTAGCCTTCAGCTGAAGAGCTGAGGGACAGCGCCCAGGCCCAGAGTTCAGGCCCCATGACCGGACCCAAAAAAAAAAAAAAACACAGAAATCTGCCCCTCCCACAAAGGTATAACCTCTGTTTTCGCTGTATTTGATGTTGGTATAATTTGGGGAGTGGAAGGGAAAAAACAAATTGTTTAAATAGGGATACAGGTTGACCCATTGCAACAGGAGATGTACAAGATGCTATGTTGAAAAACAAACTTCACAATTTGGGGGGAAGGGGGAGGAGTGTAGTTGTGGAGATGGGAGGGAAGGGATGGTAGGGGAAAAACAAAGGAGGAGACATCAATGTTTGATAAGAAATACACTCATTACCTTGTTCATGTAATTGTAACCCCTCTGTACAGTATTTTCACAATAAAAAACTAAAGAAATCTTACAAAAGTTCTTGTTTAGAACAAGCTAGTTCTTAACCAACTAGAATATCACTAATCCACAATTAGCAATGTTCATTTCAGATACCATTAGAAAACAGTGCTATTTCCCTAGTGTCTGTGCTAATACAAGATAATTGTTAGTAAAAATATGTATTTGGGTTTTTAAGTATGTGTTATAATTTAAGAAAGAAAATAAATTAGAGAAAAAATAAAAAATAAAGAATGATTCTGTCCAAGAACTGTTTACAACCCATCCTATGAATAGGTAGTATTTTATTGTACATATGAAAAAAATAAATAAAAGAACAGGCTTGGAGAGGAAATGAGTTGTTTAATGACAGCGCTACAAGCCTAAGTCTGCATAAAACACGTGAAAATTTTTTTCCAGCTCCTCAAAAAATAAAACATTGAACTTTCCAGTATCATTTTGTTTGTTTTGCCAGTCCTGGGGTTTGAAATCCTGGGTGCTGTCCCTGAGCCTCTTTGTGCTCAAGGCTAGCGTTACACCACTTGAGCCACAGTGCCACTTCTAGTTTTTGAATGGTTAATTGGAGATAAGAATCTCACAAAGACCTTTCTGCCTGGGCAGGCTTTGAACCATGATCCTCAGATCTCAGCCTACTGAGTAGCTAGGATGACAGGTGTGAGTCACTGATATCTAGCTTAATCCAACTTCTTTTTACTGGTTAATTGGAAATAGAGTCTCCTTTTCTGCTTAGGCTGCCTTCAAACCTCAATCCTTAGATCTCAGATTCTTGAGTAGCTAGGATTACAGGCATGATCCACTAGCAAGCTGTTAAAACTCTCATTTTGACCTGGAACAGGTTTCATAACATTTCCTGTAGCTTAACACTGTTACCTGTACTTATTAGACCTGATAATTATTTAGTGACATGTGAGCGATCAATCTAACAGTCATTTTTTGTGTTCCTTTATAAATATAAACTGCAGTTAATTATCATGTGTGCTTTCCCTTGGTAAAAGATTTTACAGGAGTAACTTGTGTGGATGCAGTGCAAGAGGAAGAAGGAGACAGAGGTGATGATGCGTCAGTCCTGACCACCAGAAGCAATGAAAAA